CAGAATGCACATTTCACCTCGCCTCGACTGAAGCAGCATTTCCTGTAGGGCTTGAAGTCGGGCGATTTGTATCCAGAGGTAAAGAGATGTGCTCAAGGTGATGCTGTCTCCTTGTTTCCTTGCTATAAACCATTATGTCTCTAGACCCTAATGCTATTCCTATTATTTATCGTCTACATTTTCTATTAATTCCAGGGGAAGGATACATTCCGGATTACTGGTTGCCATTGAAGTGGTGCCTGGATGTGCTTAGGAAGGCGGAGAAAATGAACTATCTGGTGGAAGAGAATAGTTTTATGGAGTTGGTAAGGATGATCAACGGTTTCCGTTCTTCCCTGGGCTCAATCTCCAATACAAACAAGTTCAATATTCCACTCGTATATACTCAGGTATGTTGGCCACTTTCTCAAGCTGCTTAACACACCGAATTACAGCCCTAACATTGCGCATATTTCATACATCCCTCAAGTATTGCGCTGGTTACCAGGTCTCTTCTCAGACTGGCACCCTAGTTACTTACATAGACGAATTAGGCCGCTTTATTTACTACTGTTACGTCGGGCAGAATGGTATTTAATTCACTAGCCATTCTTTCGGGTTACAACTTGGTGCTTAGCATGACCCTCGTCACATATAATGCCGACTAGGCCGTCTATCTTTGGCCTACAGTTTTAAGACTTCCTCTCAGCGTGGGTTCTCCGAGGAAATGGGACATTGCCACCAGGGCTACAGACGTCCAGGCGACGAAATCGTCAAAGGAATGTGGCTGGTTGGTTTACCTTTTGATTATATTCTTTAACGTCTCCGATACCGTTGGTGTCAGGGGGACGAAACTTTAAAGTTAGAAGGAAAAGTTGATTGAAGGGAAGTCGGGAATTGGTCTCATCTGAAACCGAAGAAGGATTCATTGTCGAGGAGCGAAGACTAGTGGATTGTGCGAAGAAGTCCTCGACTCACCGTACATGTGCTAAGTTTTTGTCTGTCACGTGGCAGATATTGTAAGATCAGGAAGCCAGAGGTTACGAGAAAAGGC